TAAGTATTAAAAAAAGAGGGTACCTAGGTGGGTAGAAAAGGGCAAAATCATGGTGTAGTATGGGACATACAATATTTGAAAATGTGCTGAATAACAAGTGTGAAATGAAGTGGCTAGAAAAACTAGGAACCCATTTCTGAAAACCAAGGAAGAGTTTTGAGTTGATATTAAAGCCAAAGCATGAGCAAGAGATGATGCAGTCACCCCCACTCACCAGAAGCCTCTGGAGCAGCCAGCAGCAGGCAGGAAAGATGTGTTGAGCTGCTGCCTGCACAAGGTATTTTCTCCCAAACTTCTTTTTGCCTCCAGGGAGCTCCTTGCCACACCGGAGTTATCTTCCAGCACCAACTCTGTCATTTGCTGTTTTCCTCATCTGACAATGTAAGGGTAATTAACACACGTCTCTCAGAACTGTTAGAGGATTTAGGATGATGTCCCAAGTGATGTGCCTGGCACAAGATCTTGTTTATTTTATGATACTTCTGCCAGCCAGGTGCCCTGAAGAAAAGCCTCTCTCCAGACCCACTTGTCCAGGGATCAGTCCCACAGAGGTCATGGAAACAGACATCATTTAAGGTTTATGTGAAAGTAGGAAAGTAGGGCTTCTAAGTACTGGTTGTCTTTTTTCTCTTTTTCTTTTTTGGTAGCGCTAACAAGCAGAGCCTCTTGTTCTCTGCACTGAGCTACATCCCCAGCTATCCTTGTTGCTTCTCTTTGTGAAGCAACAAAGTGTGAATAGGAGGTCCAAGACCTGGGGCTAGAATATGTTCTCCTGCCATCTAATTATGTAACTTTGGGGCAGGTTTGTTTCCCTCATTCAACTTGTCTTACGTGACTATTGAAATAATCATCAGTCCCCTCAACCTGCATCAGTATTGTCTGTCGTCTGCAAGGCCCTGTGCCAGGATTCAGGATGTGACCCTTTGCCATCTAGAACACGTGGTCTGGCAGAAGTGGAAAGGCACTGGCAAAAATAATGAACACAAGGCAGAGAAAGGTGAGTGTTAGGACAGAAGCATAGGAAGCTGGCACGTAGAGAAAGAGGGGGTTGAAGTGAAAAGGAGAACTGGGGAATCTCTCATGCCTTTGTGAAATGAAAGGCCTCTTTTGGATTTTGTCTAAGATTTGATCCATCAGGAAACATTCCAGAGAGAGGTGAGTAATTCAGCCCAGGGCTGGAAGTTGGACTACATGGGATGTGTTTGGGGGTGCGTGGGTAGTTCTGTGAACTAGAGAGGAGGCTGCTGGGACCCAGGAAGCTAGACCCAAGTTTGTTCAAAAGAGGAGAGATTAATCTTCTGGTCCAAAGGATTTAGCCAAGCTCAGGAAAAAGGATGGCAAGGAATGTAGCAGCACTCTTCTTGCATTCATTTGTTTGCATATACATTCACTTGCTTCTTTGTTTGATAAGCAGTATTTACTATGTGACAAAACACTAATCTGGATGCTAAGGAGAGAAAAATTTGTAAGACACAGTTTCTTTCCTCAAGAATGTTTGTATAATGGAGGAGACAAGTAGCAATGGTACATAATACAGATAACTGTTGCATCCAGCTCCCAGAACAGCTTTTAGTGAGTGATTATGCTCAGAGGGAGAGGATGGATATAAGAAAACACTTTAAAAGATGTGCCTCTGAGGAGGCTAGGATTATAGCTCAGTGATAGAGTGCTTGCCTCACACATGTGAGGCCCTGGGTTTGATCTTCAGCACCACATTTAAAAAAGAATAAACAAAGTTATTTTAAAAAAGAGAGAGAGAGATGTGCCCCTGAGCTGAATTTGAGGGATTTGAAACTTGCCAGATTGAAGTAAGGAGCCATCCAGAGTTAGCAAATGATACAACAAAGCCCAGATGCTGGACAAAGTGGGGCCTGCTGGGAACATTGCAGAGTTTGAGTTTAGTACATGCTAGATTAGGAAAGGGAACTAGGGAGAAAAGATTGGAGAAAGGAGTTGGAATACACCTAGGCATTTGAGCCTAGTCCTAAGGCATTGAGATAGTACTGAAGATGTTTGAGGAAGTTGGGAAAGTAAATATCAGTAGGATACAGAGGATCACAGAGGTCCTGGGAAGAGGGAAGGAGACTAATTACTGGTCTTCTCATTAATCCAGAAAAAAAAAATCAGAATTGAATCTGGATTCAGGACCCATTGGGTCAGTGAAAAGTCTGAATGTGAGTAACTCCTTGGTTTCTGACTTCCAAGAGAGGAATCAGGAGATTTCAGTATGAAGATGAGTCCATTCTTGAGTATGTTTGAAGTTACTCAGGACACCTGTGATGCTCTCCCCACCCCCCACCCCACCCACATTCCCACCTTCACATCCTTCAGACGCTTCCTATTTCCCGAAGCCCTGGCCAGGTCCCTCCACTGTCCCTCTCAGCCTTACCTTTTTTGATTTTTTGGTTTGGTTGGTTGGTTTGGGGTTTTATGTTTGGATGGTTGGGTTTTTTGTTTTACTTTGTTTAGTTTGTACTGTGCTGGGTATTGGACCCAGGAACTCATGCATGTTAGGCAAGCGCTCTATCACTGAGCTATACTCCCAGTTTTTAATTTTTTTTAAACTTGACAGATACCACTGTGATTTTATTGTGCACAGTGATGTCTTGATGTGTACATTGTTGAATGGTTAAATATAGCTAATTAGCAAGTGCATTACCTCAGCTCTCATTTGTGTTGCAGCTGCATAACATCCAGGCTATTTTTCAGAAATACAGTATGTCATCATTAACTCCAGTCATGATGTGATTATGTATCCTTTAACCAAGATCTCCCCTCCCCTTCCCAGCCTCTGGTAACTACCATACTTTCTATGAGATCAACTCTGAGATTCCACATGAGTGAGATCATGCTGTTTGTCTCTTACCTTTTAACAGGCTTCCTCCAGCCTGTGCAGATCAGATCCTTGCCAGATTGTGTTAGGCTTCTTTATGTCTCCAACTGGAGCACCTTTTCCTTTTCTTGCTATCCCTCATTCCAGACTCCCTCAGGTGTCAGCCTTCCCTGACCTTCTCTACCACCACCACCACCAGGGAGGGCCAGTACAAATCTGTTAACAGACCTATACCCATCCTCACGCAATTGTAATGATTTTCAGGTATGTCTCCTCTCCAACTATGACACACACACCCCACCACACCCCAAAGGCAAGTGGCATCTCTTTACTCATTGTACCTGGCCTAGACATAAAGTAGGACATCAATAAATGTTTCTTAAATGAACAAATCTAAGTGGGGACATCCAACAAAGTTGCAAATCTCAAAAGACAAAAAGCACCAGAGACAAATGTGAACACCATAAACAACTCCCCCATCCTCTTGCCCAAGCACTACATTGTGTAAAGACTAGATGTTCGATTATCTAGGCCCATTGCTATTGGCTTAGTTGTGTGTGGAGCAGATTAGAAAGGGAGAAGGAACACAGAGGCCTAGGGGAGAGGGCAGGTGAAATGCAACTCCCAGCCTTGAAGTGCCAAAGGAAGCCTAGCCTAGGCTCCTTTCCCCTTTCCAACCATTCGGGCCCTAATCTCTATCACCACCTGGTGGCCACGCCTATGAATAACAAGTTCCCCGGGCTATAGGCAGAGAGGATCTGTGGATTGGCCTCTGAGGGTTCTGACACTTCCTGGGAATAGCCACAAATCTGTATAGCTATGAGAGTCACTTGTTCTGAGAAGCTCCAAGAAATCACTATCACATTCTTAAAGATACTTCCGACCTCCAAAGGCTGAGGATCACTCCTATAAAGGATTCATTCTTTTCTGCCCTCTTTAATGAAGTCCTCTGAATAATTATAATAAAAAAGAAGCAGACCTGGATCCCTTCTGCTCAGAACCTCAGCCTCCAGTTTCCCAAAGAATTTACACAGAACAGAGAATCCAGCTTGAAAACCATTCTTGTACAGCCAAAGGCTTAGGGAGCCTCAGAGCCAAATGGCCCCTTAAAAATCATTGAGACCTACTAGGTCACACCTGGGAGGGATGTGATGATACTCACAGAGCAGAGAGCAGATAAGTACAGTAACAGAACTTGATGCAAATGGCCCTCTTTTACCACTCTTCACTTTATTGCTTGCCTTATTTCCCACAACTGAAATTTTTTAGGGGGGTTGTCACTCAGTGGTAGAGCACTTACTTTGCAGGTGCAAGGCCCTGGGTTTGATCCTCAGCACCACATAAAAATAAATAAACAAATAAAAATATTGTGTACATCTACAACTAAAAAAAATTAATAAAGAAGCAGCTTTCATATCCTAAATGTTCCCAAGAAATCACTTTTCCTATATATTCTTAGTTTCTAGAACAAACTATAATACATAAAAAATGTATTACTTACATTTAAATAAGTTTTTTAGAATTTCTTTTTTGGGGGAGGGGGGGTTGCTGGGGGTGTTGCATGCAAGGCAAGCACTCTATCAACTGAGCTATATCCCCAGCCCTTAAATAAGTTCTTTATACATAACTTACATCAATATACATAAGCTGGCTTATTTTATGAGGGGAAAACAGACTCAGATTAAGTGATGTGCACCAATTTAACAATCCTTTCCATTATCTCACAGCCTTTGTACTCAAATGTGTGTATTCTGTGGTGCTCAAAACACTGACCAGTAGTCAGTGTAACTAACTTGTTATACCTGTTTCAGTGGTGAGCCTAAGACTGACCCCTGCTGACGACAGCCATTTGGAGACGGGGAGGGATAAAGGAACATTGACTGAATATCTGTATACTGGAGTATATATACTGGAGTCTATTGCAAACAACCTTCAAAGTATGTTTTTAATCAACATTTTGCAGATGCCTAAATTGGAGTTCCAAAAAGAAAGTGCCTTGCTCAAGGTCACACAGCTAGCACATAGTGGTAGATCCTTGGTAAACCTTGGGTCTTCCTGACTCCTCCACCTGTTTGTTCCACTCCAGCTGGCTGCATGGGGTTTGGGCCATCCAGCTTGCCTCCCCAGATCTCCTCTCAACCCTGACCCTTTCTTTCTTTCTCTTTAGGAGTGCCAGCTTCTCTCAGGGCACCAGGCAAAAGAGCGACACAGCCGTACAAAAACTGGCCCAGGGCAACGGACACTGTGTCAATGGGGTCAGTGGTCAAGTCCATGGCTTCTATAGCCTTCCCAAGCCAAGCCGGCACAATACAGAATTTAGAGACAGTACGTATGACCTTCCCCGGAGCCTGGCCTCCCATGGCCACACCAAGGGCAGCCTCACAGGGTCTGAGACAGATAATGAAGATGTGTACACCTTCAAGATGCCCAGCAACACCCTGTGCCGGGAGTTTGGGGATCTCCTGGTGGACAATATGGACGTTCCAACTACTCCACTCTCAGCCTACCAGATCCCTAAGACATTCACGTTGGACAAGAACCACAATGCCATGGCAGTGGCCGCTCCTGGAGACTCAGCCATAGCTCCCCCACCCCGGCCACCCAAGCCAAGTCAGGCAGAAACACCTCGATGGGGCAGCCCTCAGCAGAGGCCTCCAATCAGTGAAAGTAGCAGATCTGTCGCTGCCACCATCCCCAGGCGCAATACCCTCCCTGCAATGGACAACAGCCGACTCCATCGAGGTCAGTATACACCCTGGCTGAGACCCAGAGGGAAAGGCAGGTAGCGCTCAAGGGTTCTCGAATTTTGCTAGCCCTTAGTCCTCCACAAACAAGTAGCTTGAGGATCACCCAGGTCACCAATATTCACAAGTTCAGGCATCTTCTAGCCTATCCCCTTACCAGTTGGTCTTGCAGCTATGAGTATGAGTGAGAAAAGTGTCGCAAATCCTGCCTCTGAGAAGTCAGTGTTCTGCTAAGGGATACAAGATATTCTTGGTCAACCACAATACAACATATTATGGGTTTGGAAATTCACATCATAGTATTTTAGTCACTTAAAAGTCAAACCAAAGATTTTTAAAAATAAGTTTAGAAAACCAGCTCAAGCTTTGAGCCAAACGTATGAGGACTAACAGACTAATAAAACAAAATGAGGTCATCAGACTGTTTTGTAAGCTACAACTAGAAGCTCTTTGGTTGAAGTCTGAACTTCTATTTGAAGTACCTCAATTCTATTGTCATTTGTTTACTGAGTGTATTCCAACTATACATATAACTTTTTCTGATTAACAACAACAACAACAAAAAGAACAACATTGATTCCTCTCAGTTTGTATCTTGCTTTACAGCTTGCAAAGCCTTTTCTTGTCTACCCTGTCATTTTAGGCCATGCAGAGTTTGGTAGGACAGAGCTTCATTGTCTCCTTGCACACAAGGCCAGTGGTAGTTAAGAGACTTACTCAGAGTTGCAGCGTCATCAAGGGCAGAGATAAGCCTCTGACCCCGGGGTCCTGGTTTCTTTAGAACTCGTTGCAGTCATTCCATCAATCAAAAATTTGAGTAGTCACCCTGTGCTTGGAACTGAGTTAAGACATAAAACATGCCTCTGCCCTTGAGAGCTCACATCTGGCTGGGGGGGGGATGTATAAATTAGTGCAAGAATTGTTACATACTATTCAAAGAGGTGGTATCTGGGGTGAGTAGGACAGGTGGTAAGTGCTAGGGGAGGCTAAGGAGAGGTGAGGTTAAGAAGTCAAGGAGGACTCTTCACAGATGCCAACACTGGAACTAGATCCCCGGGGCCTGGGAGGAACACAGTGTTTAAGTAACCCCTTAATATACTGATTTTTAAGACCTTACAGTGATGCAGCCACATCAATGGTTGTAGCAGCTTAATTCACAATGGCTAGGCTATGGAACCAACCTAAGTGCCCTTCAACAGATGAACAGATAAAGAAAATGTGGTATATATATACACAATGGAATATTACTCAGCCATAAAAAAGAATGCCTATGACTTTTGCCAGTAAACAGATGGATCTGGAGTCTATAATGCAAGTACAATGAGCCAATCCCCCAAATCCAAAAATCCAAAAGTTGAATGTTCTCTCTGTTATACAGATGCTATCACACAATAGGGTGGGGAGTAGAAGTTCAGTGGATAGACCAAGGGGAATAAAGGGAAGGGAGGGAGAATGGGATGGGAAAGACAGTAGAATGAATCAGACATAACTTTCCTATGTTCATATATGAATACACAACCAGTGAAACTCGTCATGTACAACCACAAGAATGGGATCTAATTAGAATAAGTCGCACTCCATGTATGTATAATGTCAAAATGCACTCTGCCCTCATGTATATCTAAAAAGAACCCAAAAAAGTAACAAGATAACACTGGGCTGAGAGCTGTACCTTCAGAAGTATCAGGAAACTGAGCCACACCGGAGGGGATGGGGAAGAGTCAGCACATGGGTCAGCAAGAGACATATGATCTTCCTTCTGTCACAGCTTCCTCCTGTGAGACCTACGAGTACCCCCCACGTGGTGGAGAGAATGCAGGCCGGTCTGCTGAGTCCATGAGTGAGGGAGTCAGTCCTTTCCTGGTGAGTGGGGTTTGACCAGGGTTCCTCGGGCCAGCTAGGGTAAGGAAAAGGTCACATGGCAAGGTACCACAAGCACAGCTCCAAAAGAGTGGTGGTATCTCCTTCGTAGGACCCTGCCTGGGTTCTTGCCTCGGTTCAGAACCCTAGGTTGAGCTTTTAGACAAGTAAAACACAGGTACCCTTGTTTGAAGGGAGTGTGAGTCCTCAGGTAGGCTGGATTATAAGTCTCAAAGCCCTATGGAGGGGGTCTAGAATGCAGCAGACCCAGGCTCAGGGGTAGTGGGTCTTCTGCACAGCAATCTTAGCCACCAGTTCTCACATAGAAGACAGACCCTGAAAAGTAAGACTCTGAGCAGGACTGGTACTCAGAGTCAGTCCAGCCAGAAAAATTGCAGCTTGAACACAGGATCCCAGGATGCCCTCTAGAAGGGACAGATCACCATTGTCCAAGGTGCAGGTAAGTACACCTGGGCCTGATTTTGAGCCAGCTGGAAAGACAGTGGAAGTTACCAAGGCTGTGGTAGCTCGGGTATGTGACAAGGCGGACGATGCAGGAGTTGGAGAATGGCTGCAGCCCAGGCTACTGCACTGTGCAGGGGTGAGGCAGCTCTGCTTGATCCTGGATGTTACTTAGGTATCTGAGGTAAGCTGTGCTTCCCCCACTGCAAGCTGCATGGGGGCACAGCTGGCCCCAGATCTCAGCTCCCAGGGCCAATACTCCTTACACGCTGTTGTCACAATCAGGATCTAGAGGCCAATGCCACCCCATCACCACCTGGTGGTCCTGAACCAAACCTATGCACTTCACAGCCCGTAGTGCCCTCTGCCTTGGCCAGGCATCCAGAAATCTTGAGTGCACCCAGCTATCAAGAATATTTTATGCTTTAAATTGATCATAAATTGTAGGTGGGTCCCAAGCTAGAAGGGGGCTCATTGGACCCCATTTCTTCTGTTTCCCATGCTGTTTTTATTAGGTCTTTCTAAGATCTCCCTTGTAGCCTCAAAGTATAACAAACCACTGGGAGGGCTGGCCTTGTGCATAGATTCTCACCTTGTGCTTCTTCATGCTAATGACAGATCTTTCCCTCTTCCTCTCTGTAGCCAGGGAAAACACTCGTGGGTCGGTCGGATAGTGCCAGTTCAGAAGACAACTATGTGCCCATGAACCCAGGTTCTTCTACCCTGCTGGCCATGGAGCGGGCAGGTGATAATTCCCAAAGTGTCTACATCCCCATGAGCCCAGGGCCCCATCCCTTTGACCCCCTTGGCTACCCATCCACAGCCCTCCCTATGCACAGAGGCCCCAGCCGAGGAAGTGAGATTCAGCCCCCTCCTGTCAACCGTAACCTCAAGCCTGACCGGAAAGGTAAGCCCACTTTCCCCTGCCCCATTCTCTGAACATCTAGGGACTATTTGCATTTGCTCAGGAATGTGTTAGTTTTTTGTCACTGTGATCAACATACTTGACAAGGACAGTTTAGAGAAGGAAAGATTTATTTTGGATCCTGGTTTCGGTTCATTGTCAGCCAACTCCATTGTTCTGGGCCTGAGGTGAAGCCGATTATCATGGGGGAACAGTGTGGCAAAGGAGAGCTGCTCAGCTCATGGCAGCTGGAAAGCAGAGTCAAAGAGAGGAAGGAGCCAGGGAGGAGATAAACTCTTCCAGGACATACGCCCAGCAGGTTCCACCTCCCAATAAGCTATTCATCTACCAGTAGATTAATCCATTTAGCCCTCATGACCCAGTCATTGCCTAAAAGCCCCATCTGTGAACCTTGCTGCACTGGGGACAATGCTTTCATGGTGAGACTTCAGGGAACCTTGATAGGGTGGATACTGGACAAGGAGTACATGATTTTGTGCAAATCGTGTAACCTCTTCAGCCTCAGTTTTCTTACTGTGAAATAGGGATGGTGATTCCTACCTCCTGCCTTTATTTGGAAGGATAACAACATGTCAGTGCATCAGATCCCTGGAAAATGGGTAGTAGTTAGATCTACGATGCTGTCTGACAGCCAGAAAGAGGTGCTAGAGTTCAAGCTTCAGGTCACCCACTGCCAATCTTTTGTCCTTAGCTCCTGCACGATAAACTGGCAGAGATAGGGCCCTGTAGAACTGAAACCCAGGTCCTTTTGGCTTTTCCCTTCCTCCACTGTGGTTTACACAGCCTTCTTCAATATCAGCAGGAGTAGTCATGGTGGCCATCTTCATTTCAAATATAGTCTCTTGTTTTTATATAAAGTCACAAATCTTTTGTCAGATCATGTGTCCCATTTTGGATTCTGCAAATCCAATCACCACAGATACAGCAGGAAGGATATATAATTTGGAATCTAAAGATATGATTTCAACATGGAAAAAGATTATACTGTCATACCTCGGTATCTGCAGGTTCTGTATCTGCAGATTCAATCACTGCAGATCAAAAATACTTGAAAAAAAACCTGTACATTGTGCATATCTTTCTTGTCATTGTTCCATAAACAATTTAACATCATATTAATCAAATAATAAAGTATATAGCAATAAGGGCACATAGGTTATAAGCAAATACTATGACTTTTGTTGTACTGAGGATTGAACCCAGGGCCTTGCACAAGCTAGGCAAATACTCTACCACTGAGCCACATCTCCAGCCCCCTTTTTTAATTTTGAGACAAAGCTTCATTGAATTGCCAAGGCTGTCCTCAAACTTGTGACCCTCTTGCCTCAGCCTCGAAATTAACTAGGATTGCAGGCATATGCCACCACACCTGGTTCATTTTACGTAAGGGACTTGAGCATTCAGATTTTTATATCCAGAGGGATCCACTACAGATGCCAAAGGAGGCCTGTCTAACCCTCCGGAGCCTCAGATTCCCTCTGTTGCCAGAATGACTGGGAAGGCTTTTGTAACTGCGCTTACATGTTACATATAAGTGTATCCCATGTGGCTGACTCCTGTGTTCTGTTTCTGTTCCAGCAAAACCAACACCACTTGACCTGAGAAACAATGCTGTCATTGATGAGCTCCCCTTCAAGTCTCCTGTCACCAAGTCTTGGTCCAGGGCCAAGTGAGTGTCTGTGGAGTGAGATCTTAGGGTGTGGGCATTCAATATGAATAGAGTGGTCTCTGGCCTGGGGGTTCAGGGTAGCCAGGTCCTACTGCTTTCACCAGTTCATCATGGCACTTGGTCCTCATCTGTAAAGGGGGAATATTATTATATCATTACCAAGCTGATAATGGGAAGCTGTGGTGACCCAGGTCTGGGTGTGAGAGCGCCAAGGGTCTCCCAGGCTCACTCTGACTTCTTCCCACAACAGCCATACCTTCAACTCTAGCTCCTCCCAGTACTGCCGTCCCATCTCCACCCAGAGCATCACCAGCACAGACTCAGGAGACAGTGAAGAGAACTACGTCCCTATGGTGAGTCCCCTGGGATTAGCTGGATGATACCTTCTGGAATCCTCCAGGACCTTCTACTCAGTTCACTACTTCTCATCTCAGCCTAGGGCCTCTCTGTATTATTGTGGCCTTCAGCTGCAGACCTTCTTGAGCACATGTGCAGGAAGCAGCATGAGTTGTCAGCGGTTGGAAAGACATGGTCCCTACCCAAAGTAGGTCAGTCTTAAAGGGTAGAGGCAGCTTGCCTCTCTCCCCTGACACAGGGGGCATGATTAGTGCTCTTGGAAGAGCAGCACCGGAGGTATCCGCTCAGTGTTAGGAAGACATACCTGCACACACTCACTGGGCTGACAGCTATAATAGGTGTGAACACGGGTAGTGCACCATGTGGTTCCTTCCTTGAATTTTTTTTTTTTTCTTTTTTATTGGTTGTTCAAAACCCTCCCTGAAGTTTTCATTGAAAGAGAATTGCCTCCCAGCACCTGGTCATCCCTAAAAGGAAACTTCAACTAACCATTATATAACCAGAACCCTCGACTGTCACCTTTCTCATTAGAATCAGACTTGGGGACAGTCCTAAACATGCAGGTGCTTTCCCACAGCAGTAGCCTGGCTGGACATAGGCCCCAAGAGCCTGTTACCTGGAGAACCAAGAAGGAACAGAGGCTTTGTGCACCTGGAGTTGAGGCAACTGTTCAGTCGGAGCAGTTGGGGGACCGCTACCTTGGGACCTGCTGCTCTAGGCCATGGGCAGGCAGTATAGAGGGGGGCTACAAGAGGAAACAGGCTTGTTCTTAGGGTCCTACAAGCAAAGGCTGGGTCTCAGAAGACAGGTGAGATCTGGCTTGAAGCTCTAAGAGGGAGGCCACATGGTACCTGGGATAGGTGCAGGTTTGGAAGTCAGACAACAACCCAGGTTGTCACACCGCAGCCTCACAACCATGGTGGACAGTGATAATATCTACCTCACAGGATTGTTGTGAGGACTTAGAGAAGAAAGTATAAAGTCCCTGGCACAGTGTGTGGCTCCAACAGGACACTGAATGAGTACCTTACTCCCCGAGCTGAGTTTTCCTGAGTAGGGGGTTCATCGATTTCCTAGACTCACTCAGTTTTGTCTTTCCTATGTTAGCAAAACCCAGTGTCTGCATCTCCAGTTCCCAGTGGCACCAACAGTCCAGCCCCGAAGAAGAGTACTGGCAGCGTCGATTACCTGGCCCTGGACTTCCAGCCGGGCTCCCCAAGCCCCCACCGCAAGGTGCCTGGGGTGGAGGTGGGGGATCAGTGAGAGCTGCCAGAGCCTCAGGAAGAGGGCAGGGAGGCCAGCACTGCTCAGCCTCTCTCCATAGCCAGCTCGTAGGACTCAGGTGTGCTTTAGGTGGGGGTCTCTGAGGCTCCTGTGCTTTCTCAGGGCACAGATCCCCTCTGAGCACAGAACATCAGTCAGCCAATCCCTTTGCAGCAGACAGGGGTACATGATAGTACACACAGACCCGAGTTTTTCAAGGTTACAGAGTGAATCAGTAACAGATTGGAGACATAGAGATCCTGCCTCCTGTCCTGAGCTCTTCTTTGTGAATTCATTGCGTGGGGCCCAGAACCCTACCAGTGATAAAACAGCCTTTGGAAAGGACCTCCAGGCCTAGGAAAACCTCCCCAGAAGCACCCAGCCACCCTGTCTACACAGTGTGGGGTGGGGGGTCCACCTCAGTGCAGGATCCCTCACAGGCCCTTGTGAGGGATCATCAAGGGGACACACCTAAAGCCCTAGAGCTGGGGCTTACTGACACTCAGCACACTCCCCTTGGAAGAGCGGCCAGAGGGAAGTGGAAGGGAGGATGAAGACCTAAACCCTTCTACCAATTCCAAGAGAAGGCCTGGGTCCACCTGAGCCTTAGTGGGAAGGAAGGGCTGGCAAGGTTGTTGTGTATGACAGGAAGTCAGTCCACAAGGACCTGCATGTATAAAGCCCACACTGAGAAAGATGGCAGGTTCTTGAGTCTGGTCAAAGTAGCAGCAAAGGCCATCTCTCCTCCCCTCCCCTTGACCCTGCTTGGGAAGACCCCACCTTACTGGTGACTCACAGTCACTCCTACTTTGTTCCCTCAGCCATCCACATCATCTGTTACATCAGACGAGAAGGTGGACTATGTCCAGGTGGATAAGGAAAAGACCCAAGCTCTGCAGAACACCATGCAGGAGTGGACAGATGTGCGGCAGTCCTCGGAGCCTTCCAAGGGCGCCAAGCTGTGATGTGGGGTCCACCAAGCCCAGAGAGGGCCCGGGAGGCAGAAGCCCAGAGCTGGCTTCTCCCGTCTCCCTCCTCTCCCTCCTCTCCCACCACCCTCCCTGCCCCTCCACTCTGCCACTCTTGGCCTTCAAAGCACTTGACATCAGGGACCCTGACCCTTCCCCTGGGAGGTGAGGCCCTGATGGGGGCACTTTCTCTGCCCACTTGGGGTCCACCTGTGACTTTTATCAATACTGGCTGTGCCTCCACCCACCTTAGTTAGGAGCTGTTGCCAAAAAAACCTCTTTCTGGCCTGGAGACCTGTCTACTGAATACTTGGAGGGAGGGCTGGGACTCTGAGCCAGACTTAACACCTCCTGTCAGTCACAGCCCTCCACCCCCTTTTATTGTCCTCTGGGCTACCTCTCTTCAGTCCCAGAAGAGGACAACCCAGGGAGCCAAGGACCAGCAGACCAAAGTGGACGTGGACTTTCTTATTCCCGTTTTTCTCAACTGGCGAGAGGCAAGGCTGCCAAAAGATTAAATTAGTTGAGACAAAGGTCAGAGGTAATCTTGAGGACAAAGGAACTGGATCCCCAGAAAGAAGGGCAGTTGATACCTACCAGGGTCCCCAGTTTCAAGCCAAAGCCACATAGACCTACTGCTTGAGAATGGGGGACACAGAAGGCTAAGAGACAAAAGGAAGGGGAAACTGGTAATGATGGACAACCAAGAACACCAAGAACAGGGCTTAGCATGGCAAGGACACGGGGCAGTCAGGGCCCTGGAACTCTGGTGTTGCAGGGCCACTCTGGGACAGAGAGCAGTCCTTCCTGAGCACTCTGCAGGAGAGGGCCTGGGCTGAGCAGGGCAACCAGCATGGTGAGGGGGTGAGGGAGGGGATGCAGTGGAGGTGATGCAGGGGTTGAGGGGAACCCTGGGGCAAGGATGTGCCAGGCATGGGGCAGTGCAGGGATACTGCAGAGGGGAATGGTGCAGCAAGTGAGTTTCTGGGAACTGGGAGGGCGCAGAGGTAACCTGATGAAGGGAGGCAGGTGTAGGCCATGCAGCAAGTGAGGAAATGCATCCCCAGGGCCCGGTGAAGAGCCCAGGGCAGCAAGTGGGGGTTCAGGATGGATTAGAAAGTGAAGGAGTGATCCCTTGAACAAGGGCATTCCTAGGACCAAGGATGGTGGGTTAAGTAGGGAAGAATCTAAATTTCTTATGTTGAAAGTTATTGACCAAATTTTCAAGTTTTAGAGGCAACAGGACAGACCAGACACTTCATTTTGCCCCAGGGTAAACAGACCTTACTCCTCCAAAAGTATGACTTCCCACGATGCTTGATGCAGGTGGAACCACTCACCCTTTAGCTCCTAAGAGCACGCACACCTCACCAGACCAATGGCCTGGCCCTTCTCTAGGAAGTCCCAGCCTGGGAGCTGTCTTTTCCTCAACAGTAGCTGTTCTCCTGGTGTTAGTTTGAAAGGCAACTCAAGGATAATTTGGGTCCCTGAACTTGAGAAGGTCACAATCAGTGAGAAAGGACAAGGACACAAGACAGATGCAAATACTCATGAAGTGCTAAGGAAATGAACACCACTTCTCAAGGGGCCAAGGCCAGAGTGGGGAGCGGATGCAGCCATGGAAGGTGACTCTAGGAAGATGAGTCTGAGGAGTTTAAGAGAAAAAATGGAGGGAGCAGGAAGGATTTGGAAAAACTTACGCTTTGAGAGCAAAAGAACTTGGAGGGCGAGTACAGACCTCAGAAGTGCAGAGGCCATGTCCCAACGTCCCATGGTTAAATGATGGCTGTGGCTACACCAGGCAGGGTTTGCAGGGTGCTGGTTCACTCTGCACACTGACTGTCCCTTTAAGGCTCTCTACAGGGTCCCATATGGCTGAGGTTTTAACTGGTGCCCCCCCACCACTGATCCCAGGGTGCCATAAAATTATTAACATGTTCTGAATGTGCCGTGATATGGGCGGAACTTGTTGGAGTCTTCAGAGACTTCAGTGTTCGGGGCTAGTTAGTCTTACAGAGGGCTTCCAGCTCTCTGTTCTTGTGACCACCCAAGCCCTCAGGGTGGAAGGACGGATAAAGAAGAAAGGACTAGAGGAGATGAGCCTGTGGAGAGCAGAGCTCTGTCTCACAAGCCCCAAACAACCAGCCACATCTAACACATACTCATTTCGCACCCCCCAAAAGAGGAAGTCAACTCAGTTTAAAAAAAACTGGTCCTTTGGCCTACCCAGGGTCAAAGTTCACCTCCTGGTGAGACCCCAGAATGGGGATACCTCTCCTCTAATAGCCAGGGCTCTCCAAAGGAGCTTTCTTCACCCACCTCCAGCTTCATAACTGCAAGGTTAAAGAAAAGTTGAGTGGGAACAAAGTGGGAGGTGGTAGGTCCTTGGGACCATCTGTGAGAAGGGCTGATTGGTCAGATGGTCCCGAAGCAGCTGGGCTGTGGAAGAGGCTTTGACGGGCGCTCTCTGCTCAGCAACCTCTCTCTCAAGGGCCTGGGTCGGCACCCAGAGCATTAGCCAGCTCACTCAGTCCCCTCCCTAGCTTGATTTTGGTGACTTCTACATTTCAAATCATTAAAATAAGCCCCATTCTTAGAACAGAAGCACAACCATTCTCAAGTTTTCAGGCTCAGTTCTGTTCTGCCTTTGTCCCCTTTACCTGCCACCAAGCTCTGGCCTCAGCCCCAAACTCTGTCCCCTCCCCCCACCCCTTTGACAGGGCTCTGGAGGAATTCGGGACTTTGGAAGGCAGCTCTTTGGAAGGCAGCTCTTCCTTCCCTTCTCAAAAGTGCTGGGGACTGAGGAGTCCTCATGGGCTGTCTTCTGGGGACTTGCTAAGTTCTTTGGGGCCTGGGACCAGCAAACTACCTGTAGAAGGGACTGTAGAGGGTCATGCTGTCGTATAATATCTGGTGATGTGTGTTCTTGTGTAATTTGTTGGCTACTTGTGTCTTGAAACTTAGAATCATTTCGCACAGAATTGTCACTATTTGTTAGGAAGAAAAACTGGGCCCAAGGCAGCCCAGTCTTCTTGTCTTGTTACCATTTAAAATTGACATTTAATTTTCAAATCGCTGTTGGTGTCTAATCACTTAAGTTATTAATTTATTCTGTTTTTTTAAAAAATTTGTAACACGTATTTATCTTGTGAGCAGGTCTGGGGGTGGGGTGGGAAACATGTTCAATTGGGCTGTGTTTTTGCTGTGGTGACACATGGTACAGGCCTGGAGCTTGCAGGTCCCTTTTTACTGTGGTATTGGAGCAGGACAACAATAAAGTCCTTTAGAAATGCAACCCAGAGAGGACTGCTTGTCTGAGGGGTTGGGGAGGGGAGCAGTACTCAAATGCCAGCTTGAGGCGAGTGGTAGACACATAGCTGCCCTACCTAGGCATGAACACACCTTCCCCAAGAGTTTCAGCCACATGCAATGGTGCACACCTGTAATCCTAGCAACGCAGGAAACTGAAGCAGAGGATTGCAAGTTTGAGGCCAGCCTCAGCAACTTAGCAAGACCCTGACTGCAATCCAAGTACCGAAGTGGAAAAAGCATTTCAGAATCATCCCAGTCATTTCTTGAATGATCCCAGGAAGGCCTGTGCTGGGCTGCTCCATTTTCATTGGGAATAATTAGGGACTTTATATATCTTTTATTTTTATGTGGTGCTGAGGATTGAACCCAGGGTCTCACACCTTCGAGGCAAGTGCTCTACCACTGAGCTACAACCCCAGCCTCTCATTAGGGACTTTTCTTGGCTAGGGGGCAAGAATGAATCCTCTGTACATCAGGGTAAAGAGGCATCTGCTAATTCACCTTTCCTGGAAGTCCCCCATTATTGTGTGTCTTCCGACCTGCTTACACAGGTCTCTCATGTCCAGAGTCTGACATTTGGACCACAACAACTTCTCTACCAGCAGTCCTTGAAACCCCCAGTCACACCCCTGCACCACCTCTGTCCCTGCCTTTCCAGCATCTTTCTTCTCCTAAAGGAGACAGGCAGGATTGGTGGAAAGTGGCCCTGTACACACAGCCATTCCTATGTCCCTCTCCAGCTCCAAGGAAAGGATGAGCCCTGGAGGGAGCTGCCTTTTGTAGTTTAGCTTCTCAGAGGAAAGGAATCTAATATCGGCAATAGATGTTTCTGGGCAACCCAGAGTTCTAGGGGTCTGTAAAGTCTCTAGACATTGGTATTCCAGGCCCACCTGATAAGTGAGTCCCCCAAATAGCATCCCACTGGGCACCTCCAACCAGTGACCCTTCCTTCTAACAGCACCTCAATTTTTTTCTTTTTTTTTGTGGAACTGGGAGAGATTGAACCCAAGCACCTCATCTTGTTCTGTTCTTGTACCTAATCCCAGCTCTGCCCTCTGGGTTCTCCCAGTGGTGGCATTTCTGCACTGAGGGCTTTCACCTCCATGCCGCGTCCCACAAGTCACCAGGGGCAGGGGCAGAACTTCACCTTACCAACCAGGAGCCCAAGTCACTACCTGGGCACAGTGAGAAAACCAAGGGCACAGTAGACGTCACGGCAAGGTTCCTGAGACGGGAAGAATAACATCTTTCACAGGCTTCAGAGAACCTAGTTTTATTCCTGTTTGAGAACATGAATCATTTGTCTCCATTTAGAAGGGGCTAGAGCAGCGTCAGGGCACAGTGAGGCCTGTCTGCTTCACAGTGCCCCCCGCCCAGCCCTCACGTGGCCCGCTGATCCGAGGAGCCGAGCCAGCCAGCTTCCTCGGAACTGTTGATGGCTTCCTGACAAGAAAACATCTTTGCAATAAAATAAGAATTCTCAGCCTTAACCAGGAGGGAGATACAAACGGTGGCATCACAGGCACTGAGGCAGGCTGGGGGACACTGGGGGAGGGTCTCTCCTCTCCTTTAGTGCTGTATAGGGGGACAGCTAAAGGAGTGAGGCCAGGGAGATCCTTCTGATCCTGTGCCATGCTGCTTTGCCATCTACTTTCCTCAAAAAAGTACAGTCAGTGCAGGTGTCCCCCAAAGGCACCCCAAGCCTCACCTCTGAAACCCCTTAGAGAAACAAGGCAGGCAGCCAGAGGCAACAAGCAGCCCCTTTCTTGGTGCAAGAGCTTGGATCCCACTGTGCTTTTTATCTTATTGAGCAAGAGCTGGAAGAGAAGTGCTAAGTGCTACTGGACGGCAGGACGCTTGAGCAGAAGCTCGGCCCTGGCTCCAGGGCCAGCTCAGGGTCTCTAGGATGGGGCCTGCAGGGAAGTGGGGGAGGCAAAGCCCAGCGTGCGTCCATCCAAGCTGCTCCAAGTGAACCAGGACACTTGGGTGTAAAATCTTAATGGAACTGATCCCAGTACCAGGGTCTGAGGGCCCAGTTTAAGGGGGTCAGGGATCCCCTCCATATTTGGGTTTCTCGTACCCTTCAGCTCAGGGCCAACATCCTAGAAGCTCCCTGTCCATCCTTCCTGCCCTTGGAAGGGCCCACTTCAGCCCTGGGCTTCAACCACCCTCAGACCCCACCTGGCTCCCAGAAGGAGGGGCTTGAGGCCCCCTGAGGTTGGCTGTGGTGCCCCCGCACGAAGGAGCAGGCTGGGGAAAGTTTCACTTCAGAAGACCAGTCTGTGGAAGTCACCTCCATTGCCACCTGCAGGGTTGCAGCCCCCTGGAGAGCCTTCATCCTCATCCTTGTCTTCATCAAAGCCCCTGCCCCAGTGCGGAGAGGCAGGGAGGGCTGAGATGTAGGCCGCCCTGCTGCGGGCCTCCTTCTCCTGCTCCTGAGAACATAGGTGAGGGTGAGGGAATCACTTAAAAATCAGACCCCTACTGCCAGATCCTCCTTTACTCCCCTCCCAGTGCCACCCAGCTCAGCACACTGGAGTGTCCCTTCTGGGTCTCCAGGGCCAGGCCACAGAGGAAGCACAGCTTCTGTCTTGGGGCACGATAGGTGAGGTAGTCCCTTCTACCGTAGATCTACCCTAGATCTAGGCTTCAGAATCCTCCCTCCCCCACCACCTCCTCTCAGTAAAAATTCCAGTCCCTTGAAAGAAGGAACTCATTATACTAGACTAACTAGCTGACAATGGCCTGAGGTGGAAGCAGAAAGTCCAGGGACCTGTCATGTCACACCACTTGGGAACTTGTCCACAGGCTTCCTGACCACAGGGGTCCAAATGATTACCTCTCAAGGCATGAGCAGTGTCTGCCCATAAACAAGTTCCTCCTCCTGCCAAAATGAGATCAGCCCCACAGATCCCTCACTACCGCACTGTCTCCCCCCCCCCCGCGTCTCCCACAATACACCAACTCTAGATGCAGGATCTGAAGGCCATCTTGGCTAGTGCCTGTCCCATCAGTCAAAGCCCTTGCTGTCCCTGTTGCTGAATATTGATGCTACTCTCCACTCTGAAGAAAATCAGAAAATGTTATATATGGGGGTCACAGGTAGGTGGCCCCTCCAAAAGCTCCCAGTGGCATTCCCTGCCCACTGACTCTACTACCAGGCAGCTCTTTCAGTGCCCTAACAACTGCAAAATCAATTATTTAACATCTGCTTCTCTGAAGGAAGGGATCTGTCAGGGCTGCTGACGTTCCTGGTCCTGAGTGATGGACAGTGAATGGGTTTTAAGGAAGCAGCTGGGTGCAGCGCAGTGGCGGGACTCTTTCACAGTATGTGTGAGGCCCTGGGCTCGATCCCCAGAACCACAAAAAAGGAAGCAACTCAAAGAGATAACCAAGGACTGATCCAAGCTGGGGGCTGTACTGAGACTGGACCCTGCCACCCAGGTCACAGCAGAGACCCGGGGTCCGCTCACCTGCAGGTAGAGGATGTTGTCTTTGGAAATAGCTTCCATCAAGTCCTTGTGGAGGGTGGGCTCTGCTCGGGCTCTGGGAGAGCCCGGTTCAGCCTCAGGCACCTCTCCAGGCCGCTGGCGGTAAAAGAGCACATAGGCTGTGTCCTTGGGGAAGAAGGAGGTGACGTTGCTGACAGACTCGAAGGAGGAGAAGGACACCCGCGTGTCATTGAACAGGTACCACTGGTTCTCAGGCTCCGGCCTGTCAGCAGTTCCCAGAGGCGGGGCCGGGCGGGCAGCGCCCTCGCGGGCGTAGCAGTAGTAGTGGCCACTCTCTGAGGACACCCCGGAGTGCACCACAACACTGCACAGGTCATAGGCCTGGCCCTGGCCACCAGCCAGCGGCAGGCGGAGCAGGAGGGGAATGGTGACGTCGTCCAGGATCTTGCGGCGCCGCATGGTGCGCAGGTCGAAGGAGAAGCGCAGCAGCGTCAGCACGAGGTAGCGCGGGCCCTGGCTCAGCTCCACCACCTTCTCGGCGTCCTGCAGGGAGGCGCACGACTCGCAGTAGTAGCGGTTCTCTGCGGTCAGCCTCTCGGGGGACAGGAAGTAGTTGACGAGGTCCAGGACAGAGCGGGAGCCCTCGGGGACGGGGCCGCACGTGGGCTCCCGGGCGGGGGCGGGATCCCTGTGGCTCCCGGGTCCCAAGTTGTCCTCCTCCTTCTCCTCGGGATCGGCCTCCTTCTCCTTCTCCTCCTCCTTCTCCTC